AACATTGGCTTCTATAAAAGAAAGGACTATTTTCCCTTCCCAAGTACAGCTTTCACCCAGATGCTCACAAGTCTTTTTTTTTTCTTTTTTTATTCTTTTACTTTATCTTTTTTAAAACCCATTATCAAATCTGAAGTTCCTTAATTCCTTTTAAAACCCCTTTGTAAAACTAATATTCACATTTGCCTCCCTTCAGTCCACAAGTATCAAGTAATTTTCATTGAGGTTATACATCAGCATTAGCATTCATTTTTTTTTTCTTTCCTTGAGTTCTCGTTAAATCCTTACATGAATATGATGTGATTCCAATCATGACTGTTGTGTGAGTAGCATATGTTTTTAAATGTTAGTATGATATTCCCTTAGAAGGCCAGCATATATACCTTACAACCATTTATCTATATGGGCCAAGGACCCAGATCCCTTCTAGCTTATACAGCCTTGTATACAATTTCAGGGCTAAGTTATATACACTCAGTAAAAATAGAGAATGGTGTTTGGAAAAAGTAGGGTCCCCCATTACACACACAGACATTCAAACCTAGAGAGGGAAAAAAAAGAAGTGATGCCATGCTCTGCTCACTTGTTATTATCATAGTTCTTTAATATTTGTACTAGATGCTGTCAATTATTTTTAATGACATAAAAATCGACACAGTAGAAAACTAGTTTGAGGGTGTAGTTGTAGATAAGAGAGCCCATGCTGACTTGTAGGGATAAATTCACTTTCCTTGAGCTCTACCTTTCTTTGATGGAATCATTTATTGTATTCTGGTGTAATTTTCTGCCTTCAGGTATAATTTAAGCAGTGAACATGTTTCTTTATAAACACACCCACACAGAAAGAAATGTATAGACTTTTTTTTGTAGTTTAAAGAAATGAGAAGTAGAGAATTAAGTGAAATGGTAGTATTGGATCCAACCCACTCTGCATTTAAATGTAAAAGAGAAATGAAATTGCTCTATCTTATTTTAAGTGGATTGTCTTCAGAGTTTCATAAAGATGAATTCACTGTTTTATTTGCACTTTGTGCAGCAAAGCATGAAAAGCTTCAAGTGCTTTCCAGGTCATAATGAAAAAAAAAAACTAGTTTATTAAATATTTAACTAAAGTCTTAATTTTCAAAATACAATAGTACAAAATGTCTTGGGTTTATTAATTGAAATCATTGTGAGATGGGGAGGAAAAAGAAATTTTTGATGTTTGATTTACAGTCACTGAAGACAAGTTTACAGCACTGTGTAGCCAACAATAAACATCTTACTTTTGACTCACTAGTGTCTTAGAAAATGAGTTTTCTCACCAGTCATGTTTTTCAAAAAATGCCCTATTAAGAAATAACAAAATTTTATAGGTTGCTGGATGCTTTTTAATCACATATATTTGTTCTGAATTACAATTTTTAATTCCATTTATTCCATGACTTTAAGAAGCAGCTTGTTGGGATTCACTTCGGAGGTAACTTCTCACTCACTAAGCACAGAATGCTTAACTTTAGTAGCTCATTTTAGGTTCAAAGTACTCCATTTTGCAAAGTAAGTAGAGAGTGAATAGGTAAGTCTCTCAGTAATCCTTAAAGCCATGCTTGACACGTTAATTATATAACAATTGATGTAAAACTGCTGCAGGTGGCAGCTCTGAAAGAAACAGCATAGTGGGTGTAGCTAACACAAAGGCAAAACTGGAGCTGTAAATCCCTTGAAACAATACTTATTTGTTTCCTGAGAAGCTTTTTTTCAGCATGAAACAGCTGTGACTTTTGCCTCATATATCCATATATATATAGGTATATACATATATATATATTTTGATTTTTAAAATTGAATACATGTATTAACCCCAAAGTTAAAGGTTGTGAGGCATAAAAAATATTTTGACAGTATCTAATTGTATTTATACTGTATTAAGTACATGTATGTTTCTGTAGTTCTACCTGCTGACTATCATATACAAAGAAAGAAGCTGCAGGGTGAGTGTACTACCTTTTAATGCATGAACATAACTTGCAGGATTAGCTAATGTTGTTAATAAAAAATAAGTTAAGTTAAAAATTAAGTTCTATGAAAATCCAAAGATTGATTACATCTTTTAAAAGCCAGCAAGAATATTGAATAACTTAAAAAACATAACCTAAAATACTGAATTTTTTCCTATTAAATTTTTGTGTTGGGAGCTGTCATTTTTTCCATATTTGTACAGTACCAAATAAAAATGAAATTGACTTAAATATCTTTATTAAGAAGTAGCATTAGTATCATAGATTTTTTCTTTATGTACTGAAAAACGTATGCATGTACTTCTTGCGTAATTGTAAACTATACTTATGATATATTTGTTCATGCTTTGGGGAAAATTTTGCACAATAAAATTACTTCTATTTCAAATCCACTGATTCGCATTAAAAGGAGAATATTTGTACCACAATAGTTTATAATTTTCTATGTTTCCCCATGTTCAGTGACAGAAAAACAAAATGGATTTTTTTACTTCGCAATTTTCTGAAGTAAAATTCTTAAATATGCATCACTATTTTTCGAAGAAATTGAGTAGACAATCAGGACCCAATGCTTTGGACTTACTAAAATAAAATGGAAAATTGAATTTGGACAGGACTAACACAAAAAATAGTGGTTCAGGTTCAGAAATGCTGTCCTCTATATAAAAATTTAGGGCATTTATGCTTATCTATACATACTAAAAATCTAGCCTACAGTTTTATGCATAAAGAAAAGATGAGAGAGAAAAATTGTCTTGCACTCTGCAGCTGCTGAAAAGAGGTAAAAATAGCTGACCACTCGTACTTTGGTCTGAAACATTTTCCTCTTTGTAGAAGTAAGACAAAGATCAATACAAAGTATGTTAAACAGCTGATTAATTATCTTTCTCTTTGTTGTGTCTCTTTTCTGAAACATGACTTATGTCCCTAAATGCTAGATTGTCTTTAAAGCTGTGGGGTTTTTACACACACAAGAGAAGAGAAAATAAAATGCCTTTTTAAATTTTCGTACCTCTTTTTCCTTCTGAAATGTTTTCTTTTCTCCTCCACCATCTATCAGGGCACTCATAAAACAAATTGGATTTTAGGATTAAAGGGAGATGAAGGGTCAGAAATAATGCTGTGCGCATAATCTGACTACTTATGTAGCCCAAGCTGTGTAAACAAATCAGCAAATTTGAAGTCTTTGAAGAAAGAACTCAACAAACACTGCCTGAATATGCACTGTATCTACTAAGCCAACTCAATTATAAAAACCATTGTATGTCCAGCAAACAAATAAGGACAAAAATTAAAATGAAATTCACTGTTTTCTGTGTAAGTTGGTTTGTTTACGAGCTGGACAGTTAGCTCATGGTGAGACTATCATTGAAGATAGACCACTGACTTGGGTTTCAGTCAGGTAAGTCTTTCTAGCAAGACACATCAATGCTAACAATAGCATAAAAGACAGCAAACTGACCTGGCAGGAAAAGGCAGTTTCACTCCTCAAACCCAGGAGGAAAGCGGGGAGACACCATGTGGTAGCAAACCTGGCAGAGGTGCAGGGAGGAGGTGAAGATGGCAACAGTGAATTAATTAAAAGACAACAGTCATCAAAGCAACACTTCATCTCACATTGAGATGTTTAGCTCAGAAATAGTGCCATAGCACAGAAATTAAACACTTAGTCTGGAGAATTATTTGGGAGTGTCGTTTAGTAGTTACAGTTCAAATTTAGTGCTTTCACAATACAATTACTGATAAGCTAGAGTCTCAGCCAAATCAGTGTGTGACAAATATGTCATTAGAGGTTTCAAACAACCCAATCACTTTGTTCCTAGAAAAAATGATGATTCATATTCAAATGGTTGACATTCTTATTTAGCTGTTATGTGTGGCAAAAAACTCATGTGCTACAGCCTTTTAAATGCAAAAGACAAATTAATGCTTGTTTCTTTATAAAAAAGAAATGTGATTGAACTTTTTCCAGCTCTCACCAATGCATCACGTCTGTTCCTTTTATCTATTTTATTAATTTCTGCTATCAGTGTTTTTTTTCTTTTGCTTCTGCAAAATATAGCAAGCGCTTATTTTTTGTGATCTGTGCTATCACCCCATAATTCATTTCTAGCTGTGTTCTCAGTTAGTGAGTTGTTGGTTTATTTTCTGTTTAAAATTCAGAGGAGACTGAGACCAAATGAAAATTTTGGTACTCAATCACTGGTTTATGTATTCAGGCTGTCTTTTCTTAAAGATAAATTCTTCAGGCACCATATTCTGTATAACTCATCTACCAGGCTTTCAGCTATTCTACATGCTGTGTAACATGAGGTTTTTTCCATGGGAAAAACCTGTTTTCCCCTTTGCTGTTTCATAGTGGTTCTGTGGTAGCTTTTACAATATCTGTCATGGAAAAGGAAAGACTACTTACAGAGGTGTAGCAGGTTGATTTGGATTTTGGGTTTGGTTTTTTTCTTAATTGGTTGGGTTTTGTTTGTTTGGAGGGTTTTTTGGGGTTTTTTTTTGTGACCTATGACAGAAATTAGTAAATCTTTAATCCTGTTCTGCGTATGCTGTGGCAAATCACCTAAAAACTACAGTCTGAGACCTGTCTAATTAATCTTTTTAAAGACACTACCCTCAACAGAATGTCAGATTTCACACTGACGTGAAAGGCTGATCTTTCTGTACCATATATAGTTTTATTTCCAAGTTGCTTAAAGGTAAACTTGCCTCATTTCTAGTTGTACCTCCAGTGCTTTTTTTCTTCACACGTCTCTTCCTGTCTTTCCTGAAGCCTTCCCAGCAGTTTTTCAAGAAATCTGCACAACAGACACTTTTAAATCTCTGACATGAAATAAAAGAACTCAATATAGATGTTTCTAGTTATTAATGAAAATTAAAAATAAAATTAACAAAACTAAACTACCAGTAAATTATCACATATGAACTAACCTTTAAATAACTCCCAAAACATCTCCTGAACTGGTAAATGAATGAGGGCTAAGTTGTCCTATAGGGAGGATTTTGAAGTGCTATTATGTTATAAATTACACTGGTGAACCTATTCACTATGAGAGAAAGGATTTTCAGAATCCAGACTTAATCAGGAAAGCAATTGTACTGGCATCATGTATTGTAAAATGGAAAGAAGTTATAGCAATCATAAAAAGAAACAATACTAATGAAAAGAGATAATTACCGTGAAATATCTTGTTAGGGTACACTTCTGCACAATTTTCAAGCTTTAAAATGTGTTACATTAAGGTACATGATACAACTTTTAAGGAAGGACTTACACAATTTTTTTTCTGACTAAAATAGTGCAAAAGATGGAGATTTCAAGTAAAGCTTAAATAAAACAACATCAGAAAAATAATTTAGGAGAACCATTTTGTTGGTTTTTGGCACATGTGAACAAAAGAACATGGAAAAACCCCTCACAAGTGCATGATCACTTATTTACCAGATTAGGAAATAGCAATGAGTTAGTCACATCTATGTTAAGTTAAAACAAACAAACAAACAAAAAAAGAAAGAAGAAAAGATTTTTGACATCATGATTTCAAAGCACAACTCATGATCTGCAAAATTTTTATTTCTGAGTTCTAGAAGTGTGGACGCGACAGTACTTACATTGGAAATGGTCTGAGAAATGGATTTAGACTGCACCATCAAAAAAAGGATAATTTTTTTTCCTAGAGGAAACAGCAAAAAGTGGGTTAAGAAAAGTAAACTTGGCACTGTTCTTCCATTTTTCTCTGCCTTTGAGTAGTATACCCATTTTTGAAATTTACTGTCAATTCCGGAGACAGATAATGATGGAGTAGCATAAGTAAATATCACAGTGATACGAATGGAGAGAGATTAAGGACTTTCTGCTCAAACATTGTTCCACTATTTTTTCATCGAGATCTTTAAAATAGTTATGTTAAGCAGATAAATAATCTTATTAAAAGTTAATATGAAGAAAATTAGTATTTACACAATAGAGCTACATTACAGCACTGCATGGTCTACTGTCCTGTAGACAACTGCTTTCCCTATCAAACAAAGAATTGTTTTGAGTTTTTATTTGTTTGTTTTTTGTTTTGTTTTGTTTTTGTTTTGTTTTGCTTTTTGTTTTGTTTTTTATTTTTTTTATTTCAAGGGAAATTACTTAGGAAGGGATATCTATGTGGAGTACTTTATTTCTAACCTAAAACATTGCATTAGCTCTTCAGGGTTTATGTTGATCAGACAAAGAGTCATTCCAGGCTTTTACAAATCTTGCAAGGAAAATGACTGATCTTTCAAAATTTGCTGTTGAACAGCAAACCTGTATTCATGATAGTGTTGTTCATACTGTGAACATACTAGTAAAGCCCATCCTACTGTCATCACTGTGTGGTAAGACATCAATTAATTCAACAGATCACATCAGAAGCCAATCCTGGTCATCAGAGAAGAAAGTAAAAAATGACCATCACCTTTTTGAACAAAAAGTAGTTACATTTAAAGACACTTTTTCATATTCTATACAATTGTGTGTTTTGGTGGGAGTATATCTGTGGTTGTTGCCAACTTGTGGAGTTTCACAAAATGATAAGACATTTAAAATTTCAAATCCTTTCTGGATTTGAAATCAATGTTTCGTTTAGGCATATGTTACATGCCTGACAGACACCACTGGAGAGTATTTAATATCAAGCATTTCACAAATGATTCATTAGGGTCAGACTTCATGATTACTCCCAGAAGTATGTGTTTATATCTTTGCCATTTACTCACTCAGCTTTCTATCCTATTGGGAATTAAGGGCTGGAAACTTTCCAGATAGCTGTTTGTAGTCAATAAGAACCTGAATGACTGTGATAGGATGTTGGCTGCTGTGCTCTCCAACCCATCCATTGCAGAAAGAACTCACTCTCAGAATCTGTCAGTTTTGATTGTGGGATAACTGTTTGGGGAAGAAAAGAGGAAACTGTACTAAACCATGTTTCTCATTGTTTTGACACCAGACCCTTCCTAAAATTTGTATTTTTGTATATAAATAGCATTTTACCTTTTCCAGATTACCTTGTGTCCCACACCACACTATATTCTGTCACCTTTATTGATAATTTGCTAGCTTCAGAGTGGTATTTTTGCTAATGATGAATTAAACCACATCATCTTCCAAACAACTCTGAGCTGCAAAAAGTTCTTACTGAGAGAAAAATTTGAAGTATGACATTTGGGGCTATTTCTTCAAGGGCCTGGCATTTTCTGCGGGACAAGCTGCTCTTTATAGCCTAAGTGACAAATGTGATATTAGTCAATTAAAGAAAAAATAAGACAGCTATATAATCACAGAAATTACTATGTAATGAAGCAATCCAAAGTATTTTAGATAAGAAAAATATTAACTATTAAAATTGAAACTCCATTCAGTGACAGAAACAATCCAATATAGTATCTGATGCATAATCATATAAGTAAAGATATTTTTTTTAGCTAACTAATAATTAATAAGAAAGAAGCGACGATAAACTTGTTATCACTTTTCAGATGTTTTGGAAGAAATTAATCAAATGAAGATCACAGCCCACTGATGCTTATGTCAAAAGGGGCTGAAATTACCTATGTCAAAATAAGGATGACATCATCTTTAGGTCCAGTTTTCCCATTTTCAGCTCGTACTTATTTATCCTTATTAACTTATCACCTAGTTTAAAGGAACTTTTTTTTTTTGTTAATACTTGTGCCATACCAAGCACCTGTAGATCAAAATATCTCTGACTTTCTCATCAGAGAAATTAGGATGAGTTTTCTTAGTATTTCACTATATAACAAGTTTCCCACACCTTGGATCATCCTCATGGGCCTTTCTTGGGCTATTTTTAGTGCTTCAACAACTTATAAGTTGCAGCTGCATAACTTGCCATACTGTTGTATAAGTGATCTTGCAAAAAGCTTTATACACATCATATTTCCCCTGAAATTTTAGCAGATATTCCCTTTACTCAGGTACACCTGAGACAAGTTGTTTTTTCAATTGCTTCATTATGCCATACGCATAATACAATTGCTTCATTATGCCATATGCCATAAGAATAATCTGGTTTTCATCTCTTAAATGCTTCCTAGAGAGTTTAGAGCACTCAGACTTTCTTCACTAGTTTGACATGTATTCTTGATATATACATAAGGGTTATGGCAAGTGATATAAACATATATGTGTCTGAAGTGTTCCTAGTATACCAAACAGTCTTAGTTTCTTTGTAAAATGGCGTCTGCTTAGAATTAATATGCAGTGACTTTGTGTCATATGCAGTTACAAAAATGTTTTTCCAGATAGCTCATGTAATTAAGTATAAATATGTGCAGAATATTGATTTTCATTCCCCTGCAGGACTATATTGAAATATTTCAAATGAATTATTCCCCTTTGAAAATACATTTTGAGATGTATCATTGAAAACATATCAATTTTATCGTAGGTTGAAATACTGCAGAGACAGTAAACACTGCGAATGATATTTTTTTTGTTTTGATATTTAACACAAATGGCTTTAGATACTTCAGGGAAGCTAAAAAGAGGAAAAATCGGTTTATATTTTCCTGTCCATTAAAAAAATGAAGACATCAGCAATCTACATATCCTCCAAGCAGGAAATCTAAGAGACAAAGATGTCATAGATAGGCTGCTGTTGCCTTTATCAGAATTACACTGTTATTCATATGAATTATTCTTTAATAATTAAAATAAATGAAGTGCATATGTTTTTTTCCCATCAAGGAATTGAGACAAGCAATCAAGTTTCTTTATTTTTAAAATAAAATAATTGTTGATGAAGATCACAGAAACTTGGATAGATTATTATTGATCCATGTGTATGGGTCAGCTGACGTGAATGTTATTTTCAGACTAGAGCTATGACAATGTCTCTGTATTAATGGTCTTATAGACTGCATTAAAATGCAAGTTTCTAGCCTGGCACGGACTCAGCCTCAGCACTTTCACTGATTGCTAGTTGTCATTTAAAATGCAGTTCTAAGATAAAAAAGTAATGATTTCTTTTGTCCTTACAAAGACTTGCAAAGCCAGAAAAAAATAATCTCGAATCAGTTTATGCCATTTCTAGATGTATGCATTTTGCTGCTTCCCCTCCAGAATTAGAACTGTAAGATTGTTTTACTTTGCTACACCTTTGTCAGTTGGTATACGCAGGTCAAACATAATCATGTTAATTATTGATCTCTATGACAACATTCCATTACCTATCTAACCCTAAAATAGATTATAAAATTGAGTAATCTCAGTAGCATTTTTTGACTACATGATCCAATAACTGGGCTACATAGCGAGAAAGAATATAGAAATTCTATTATTTACTTACTAAGAGGCAAAAGAGCGTAAACTGAATGCATTGACAGCAGATCAGAAAACTCTATTATTTACCACTGTGTCTAATCAACCAGAGCTGATTACATAAAAAAAGAATTTCCAACTCATTTAAAGACAGATAAAGGAGGAATTAAGTACAAAGTCTTTATGCAGATCTCTTTCTATAACATAAGGTGCTTTTGGTCAACTCTGTGCAACATTGAAATATCTGTCAAATGCATCTCACTCTCAACAAGATGTTCTTTCAATGGAAATAGAGGAAGATTTTTAAGCAAGATTTTTTTTCGACCATTTCCCTAAGTAGGAAAATTTTAATTTCAAATATTTTGGGTTTTTTCTATTTCAGTGAATACAAAATTTAAAATTACATTCTGCATATCGTAAATGGTTGACTCCATCTAAAAATAGAATGCGCCCCCTAGACTTGCTAGAATTATATTGTTGTCATTAATTTTTTTGACTTTACTAAAACTGCTGATGTACCCAAAATATATTTAGCAAAACTATATTTAAGTTGACATTTGGTAAAAAGGTGCTCTGCTAAAAAAGTGACATTGTAAAGAAATGTATTCTGTGGGGATCATAGCCAAGTAGATAACAGTTTGTATTTTACAATGTGACATTGCGTGACAGTTTCTACTTTGTTAGATGCTGATATAATTAATTTAGTTTACCTCAGCTACAGTTTGATCCAGTGACTTTGCTTAGTTTGAGAGTACTACAAAAAACTTATTTTTAATAAATAATTTTGCTGTACCTATTTTTTTCCTGAGGCATTCAGGAAATTCCATTATCTTTTTTGTTCTACTAGTAGCCTTAATTGAACTGGACTAGCCAATGTGTGTTGCAAATGAGAACACCTTAAATGTCTTATTTTAGCAGTAAAGTTTACAAAGCATGCCCAAAAGGTGCACCAGGGTGGTACTGACTGCTTTTTCCAAAATTAATCCAGTAGAAATTGTTCACTATCACTAGTCTGCAACATTTTTAATTGTATAAATAAAAATAAGAAGGAAGAAAAAAAAAAGATGGAGTCACACAGACCTGTAGATAACGGAATGAGCAAGCCTAGGAGGTGTTATTGATCATAATATTGCTTGCATCAAATTGTTTTGGCTCAGCATGCCTCTAAAAACAGTTGTCATGCTGAGTTCTCATCTGTCTCTGTCAGCTTTCTTCATTTCATTAAAGTATTGCCTGAAAGGTAAGGAGAGGGGAAGAATACTGCACTGCAGTTTGATTCCTTCACAATCAGCATCACTAGCTCTTTGATAGTGTGATAGTCTCACTGGACTCTCATGCCCTGATGTTAGCAGTGAACCTTCCATCTTGGAGGTATGGATCACAAAAAGGATCAAAATGCACTGTGATGTTACAAGTTCCAATGATGAATGCAGGTTTAAAAGTACATTGCAATTTGCTATCTTCTGTTTGAAAAATACGTGTGAACTCAGAGTTTTTATGTACTTGGAATAGACAGGTATTCAGAAATAGCTGGTTTTCAATAAGTCAGATGTTTATTCACAGTTAATAATGACTGGGAAATTTTCAATTAATGCTCAATTGTCAGTTTTAGTTTGACAAATTTTGGCCTCTTGCCACATATGTATTAACAAATGTAGCTTTTCATTCCTGTATAAGTCTTGTGAGACACACAATTGAGCAATTAAGGCAAAAGGTTCAATGGAAAATATAACAGTAATTTCCTAACAAAGTATCCTCAATCTACAATTTAGCAAATTAAAAGCTGGGAATACTTATATATTAGTGGTCATCAAATGTTTTCAGACTGCAGGCTTGTTATTCAGGCCAGACTAACCATTTTGCTCCACTTCTTTACATAAAGAAGTCACTTTTAATGTAATTATGCAAATAAGACTAATTTCATTAGAGGTAAGGCATATATAAAGAATTTCTGGTAAGTATGATACATGTCAATAATTGAAATGCTACATCTACAAAACCAGGCAGGGTTTTCAACATCCGATTCTGGTACATGTAAACAGGTAGAAATATACGTAATTTTTTCCCGTACCTGCATTGAATAATGCTGTAAGATCCAATCTTCACATTTTCTTGTTCATTGTGGCAAAATAGAAAACTGATTTGCTGCCAATGTACCATTTTTTTCCCTCTCCTCTTTTGACCTTTGTCATGCTTCTTATCTGAACTGTTGCTTACGTTGATTCTGCTCTAGCTCACTTGTTTCCTTTGACTCTTTTCCACTTAGAATAATGCATGACAAAGATAATGAGGAATTAAACCATACAAATGTTCGTATAAACCATCTACTAGTGTTTGCTGAGACTGCCAGGATTTGATCTACTGGAGCTGTGTCTGTGATATAAAAAGATTAAAAAAAATGAGCCTGGTTATTTATTATCTGACAAATATAAACCAAAAGTAATAATTTTATTGCCTTCCTATGAAATTTCAATTGAGCTTTAAGCAAGCAAAACTCTTTCTGAGTCAACATGAAGAAGTGCAAATTTAAATAAAGTCTGGAGCAAGAATATTCTTAATGAATATTCTGCAGTTTTCTGCCCACTTCAGCCTATTTCCTGAATTTCCTAACAAAAGAATGATGGCTTCCCGTTGTTATTCAAGGCTGTTTAAAAATAGAGAGAAGAGATAATTCTTTATTTTCTCCGCCTAGGAGGAAAAGTTCATGATAAGAAAATTCATCCAAGCTCCAAATTTGGTGGTGTGTATTTGATATCCAGTTAGTGGAAAATAAAAGATTTAATTTTAGTTTGTATTCCTATATTAGACTAGAGGGTAGAAACAACTTATTTTACAGTGGACTTCATAGGGATGAGTTTATGTAAATTGTTCAGGAATAAATCTTGGCAGAAGTGATGTCAAAAACAAATTTTTCTTAACTTCAGCAAGGATGAACAGCTTTTAAACTATAATAGACAGTGATATTTATGGCATCCTATGTGTAACTTTGCTGGAGTTGAAATCTGCATCTTGAGCTTTGGGTGATGGTACTGCTGGGAACACTGTCCATCTCCTGGAAATTTTGTACCATGAGGAAAATTCCTAATGGCTCGGAAAATCACTGACATAAAAGTGGTGTGTCAGCATTTAACCTGGTTTCTAGCTAGTCTCTTAATGTAACTCTTTCAGAATGGACAATGAAGAGTTTTAATGATTCGTGCCATAGTTAGCCTGTCTGGGTGAACTCAAGCACTGAGTAGAAATCATCTTTGTGTGGCCTGCAAATATGGCTTTGCGTGCTCTGCATGCCGTATAGGCATATTCCCATATTCCCTCTCTACAGCTGGCCTCTCCATTCTTTTTGTCTCAATGAGTAGAGCACATGGATCAAGATGCTCTCATAGGAGTTGGAACCTCTGGTTTTAGTGAGGAAAGGAAGCAAGACTCTTTTGAAGGGTGGTTCTTGACTATTGCACTTATTTTTTTAATTTTTTTTTTTCCTCAGCTCAAGGTTATTTTAGTCTGTTGATTTTCAGAACCAAACCAAACTATCTTTTTTCATCTGTGAGATAGGGCTGGGCTAGAAAGAATAAGATCACTGACATGAGGACTCATCATCCCATTGGGTCAATTTGGCAATTAAAAATATAGCCATTGATGCCTTAGACAGACAGATAATTAGTAGGAGTCTAAAATTTTTTTTAGATATATATTTTTAGCAAAGATTTTCTTAAAAAAAGAAAAATGATTTTCAAATGAGTCTAAAAGAATTTTGCAAATGTTGATCTATTAAAAGAGTTTTTCAAATATTGATATATCAATGGAAAAATGTAATGGTCTTTTAAATACCCCTAGCAACATTTTAGTTAAACATAAAACCTGTTTCTAATACTGGTTCGGTATGGGTTTTGGGTTTGTTTGGTTGGTTGGTTGGTTTGGTTTGGTTTTTTATTTGTTTGTTTGTTTGGATTTTTTTGTGTTTTGTTTTGTTTAGTTTTTTTTTTCCTAGTGATTTAGATAAATGAGGTTTTAGAGAGAATGTCAGGGAGATCCTAAGCCTACAAAGCCTTAGTGGTAAGGAGTTCCACTAGTCCCTATGATATCTTAAACTGGGTAACATAATTATATAGTATTTATATTATAATGTCACTGAAATGTACCTATCTCTTAATTGGTTTTTCTAAACCTGGTGTATTTCTAAGAACTGAACATTTATTTACTATCTGACCATGTGTTTCCACTGTATTTCAACAAAATGAACTAAGAACAAAGTTATTTTTCTGCCCAAACCATAACCTTCTTAATCGTGGTTGCATTAGGAACAGAAGAAAAAATATGCAGGGAAAAGGCTTAACATCTGCATTTCTTTTATCCATGTGCTCAGCCCCTAATGCTGCTTCTGGCAATTCAGACTTCAGAGAATATGTAGGTTCCTTTAAATTACAGCATTATAAACATTTTCTGCCTTACTGATTACTACAAGTATAAAATCCCCGTTCATCATGGAGACTATTCTGAAAGTAATCAAAATCCTGTCATTGTCAAGGTCCATGACTAGAGGACAGAGACTGTCGTATGGAAATATGTAATGCAGCATTTTCCAGCGTAAACAGGAATTAATCTTTGATGTATTGAGAATATTAATCATTATTCAAATAGCAATTCCACAGCAATGCAACTGGAAGAGGCCTGAAGAAAGGAGTCCATCTACCATTAAAGTGGTTATTGATTGAAGGTTAATGTTGTGTGTCTGGGAGATCACTCTGCATCCTTCGTCTAATCAAATAAGTGCAGAACTGAATGACTGACTAAACTGCTTGGCTAACTATTCATCTTACTCAATATGGGATATCAGCATTGATTGTTTAAAGTAAGCCAGTGCCTTTAAATCCACAGCTCTATGTCAACTGGAAATGGTCATATATCCACATGCACCTACCAGAAGAAAATTGATACTTTTCTTACCTTGCTCGCATTCAAACTGTGAACCTCTATTGCTTATTGCCTTTTAAAAAAAAGGTTTCACCCCTTTTTTTCTTTTCCTGTGAACAGAATAATTTATATACTGTTATATGGTACTGTACATTTCTGTGTGATATTCATAAAAAAGAGAATGACAAGGCTGGGTAAATGCTCCTGAGCAATGGAGAGATGGAAATAGCCTAGAGAGCATGCTCAAATATAGGAAGAATCAAGCTGTCTTGGGCTGCAGGCAAAATATATGGAGAGCCATGGGGTAAGAGCTAGGCCAAGCGGTGAGCACACAGCACAGGAGGCAGAGGAAGGCTGCTAAAAACAGACAGTGAAAATAGAACCAGGTTCCCAGAGTGACAAAAAAATTTTCTTAGGGACACAGATAGACTGTGCATAGATAGCTGCAGCCCAGGAAAACCACTGAGTGTCTGAAATGAAGCTGGTGATGAGGCTGGGGGCAGAACTATAGTGCAGCAGGAAAGGTTTCCCTTTTATTTTCCTTCTGTCTTACTATCCAGTCAGAGTTTTCTATACCTTCAAATTAGAAAGACAAGATGAAGAGCTATAATCTAAGCACATAAATTAAATGGCTCAGTCCCTAAATGCTTAAGGATAATACAGGAGTTAACACAGCATTTCAGGGCACATAAATGAAAAGCCGAATTAAAGTCTGCATAAAGTAGGTTGTGTAAATATCATACCAGTCTAGGAGTTGACAGTGTCAACTTGTCAGCTGATATTTCCTCTGCTCTGGTACATTCTCAGTGGATTGACGATTCATTTCACTGTTTTTCTAGCTTAAGCCTGACCTTTATTCCTCAAGGGCCAAAATGAATTGTGGTGCAATCTTCTAGAAACATCAGTAGTGAATGTCTTGTGTCTTATTGTTAAAACAGAAAGAAATACATGAAAAGAAGTGATTCCAAATGAATATTTTGGTGCTGTCTTTTTGTTGTGTGACCTGAATTTAAGCTTTTAAGCTATGTTATGCTAAAGTCAGTGACAGTTTAGAAATTATAACAAACATTTTTTATCCCCTTATCCTTTGTGGCAATAATAACTGGTCTTTATAATATAAATTTCATTTGCTGTGTACCTTTTGATGAGTTTAATTGTTGCAGGACATAATTCATAAAATACGAAACATTAGTCTGTCTGAGTAAAGAACCTATTTGCATGGTAATGAAACCTTCTCTCAAATAATCAACAAGCTAATGAGACATTCTGAATGACCCAGGATTATATGTTGGTTATTCTTGTAATTTAGATCAAACACTGATGATAAATATAGGAGAAAATCCTTAATTGAATGTAAACATTCAAACACGGAGAAGAAATTAGTCTAAACCAGAAATGAAAGGAAAAGAAGAAAGAAGTCCTGAATTGAAGTTACTCCAGCTGAGATGATTGTATAGAAGGCAGAAATGCACTGCATTAGTGTCTATTGATTCAAGCACAATAAAGTTTCTCCCTGATTGCTTATTGAGCTATATAAAGGCTTTCCAATGGACAAAGTAGCCAGATTTCTCCCTTAAAAAGTGTCTGCATTCAACATCATCTCTCCTTTTGTGTACTTGCTTGGTCAAATATCTGGTGTCAGATACCAATTTATACAAACAGCCTCAGAGATTCCTTTCCTTTCAGATCTCCTGTAAAACAAGCTTTTCAATTTTCTTCATAAAGGAACAGCATTTTAAAGACCAGAAGAGACTCCAAGAAACATGTATGATATCTGAGTATATTCTCTAAGATAGATACAAAGTTATATGTTTATATTGTGCTTCGTTTTTATTGATATACATTTATAATGTAGCATGAATACAACTTTTAAAGAAAAAAAAATAGAGAAAGAAAATTACATTTGAAAATATGGATACTAACCCTGAGCCCCTGAACTTGGCCACACCCTTCTACTTGATACCTTCAGTGACCAGTTGCCGGTTTCATGCTTCCTGACACAGGAAGCATGAAACATATTTTCACATGTTTATGTTTTCTTTTTAATATTGCCAGTTATCTCCTGTTCTCCCTCATATTCAGTTATGGATCATGCTGCTTGTCCTGCTTTTGTGTGAGTACACTCAAAATGGAGAAAACAGTTACCACAGCAAATAGCTGGTTGGTTCTGTAGCTGAACATATATGAGAACGGAGAACAGCAGAAACTGAAGAGAAAGTGTTTGTGATAATACCGAGAAACTCCAGACAAAGAACATTCTCATAT